TAATAGATCTATGGTTACCTATTTATTTTTTGACAGTGATAATTAACTGAACAAGAACCTCATAGTAAATTAAGACTATATTTAAAAAAAATAACAATATTACTAAATTGGTACCATTAACGTTATTGAATAGTTTTTTAATTATTGACTCAGAGATAACAATAGAACAACGATGTATCCATGATTTCTGTTCCTAAGTCTATTTCGCGTCTATTTTAGAAAAACAAATGACGTTGTTAAAATGTTAAGCGCAACATAGATAAATGTAAAATACCCTTAAACTTAGTCGAGACTCGTAGAAAAACAACCAGTCACTTTCAAATATTCAACTGTAATAAAAAGTATCAATTTAAATCGAGATGGTGAGTCAGTCAGAATGACAGGAATGTTACTTTAATATACGGATACAGTTATATATCGTTTACCTAATAACAGTATTCATTTATACCTTACTATCTTTGCTCGTGGCTGTGTGCAGATTATCGCGGTAAAAAGTAGCTAAACATAGAATCAAAGTATCTAAATACCAAAATTCATTAAAATAGGTTCAACCGGTTAAGCCGTAAAAGCGTAAGAGATAGACAGACAGAAAAATATTTGCATTTATAATATTGGTAGGAATTGAGAGACCCTTTTTTTTATTGTGCGATACTTCATTCGGAAACCACCCACCAGTGGGGTGGTTATGTCGGACTCGAACTTGAATTCATTGATTTGAATTGAATTCATTCATTGGTCATTGGATAGAGATGAATTCAAATCAACTGCAGACAGTTGTATACTGGACCCCTATAAGTGTCATATAGCTGTTTTTACATAATTTTAACTTTTTTTTTCCCAAATTAACATAACGTATTCCAAATATGATATGCTTCCCATATGTGTTTAAAAAGGGGTACCAATTGTTTCTTTGTGTATTCAAAGTACTATTCTTTCTGTATTATCCGTGTGGTGACGGATTAAGAAAACAGAGTGTCGTAAGAGCCGACTAAGGGACTAAACTACGCAGGACAACAACACTGCAAAGAGAAGGTAAACTTGACACAAACGCTACACCAACCCGTCTGACCAGCGTAGTATAGTAGGCCAAAACCTCCTTTCTAATGTTGATAATGATGACACATCGAAAATACAAATTCAATCCTTTTGAAGAAAGAAGATTTTAGAATTTATCAATTTGACCTGTTAAAAGCAGTTGATAGTTTAAGAAAATGCGTAGTAATCACGAAAAGGAACCCCATTTTAGTCTCAAAACATTGTTCAAATCAATTATTTATACACTCTATCGTAAATTAAGCTAAAAATGGGTGTCCTTAAAACGATTACCTAAGTCTATTTTTGGATACATATACCAACTATTTTAAGGTCTAATTCGAACACTCGTTAAGGTTCTAGGACGAGAGTATGTGAACATATTTAGTCATTTCTGTCTAACCAGTTGAGGCGCCATGTTGTGATGCTTTGTTGTCTATGCTTTAGATAATAATAAACTAGCTTAAAGCTTAAGCAGTTATAGCTTAAATAAAGCTATAAATGCTTAAATAAATGTATACTTAAACATTAAAATGTTATTTAATGTTATTTATGATACAAAATAAGCAGGGCCTGCACTAGCTCCGTGGGGACGCCCCTACCGTATGGTTAGGGGCAAGATGCGCCCATGGGCCCCGCCGCTCACACGGTGTCTTCAGCCAGAGCTGCTTGAGAGGGTCGTTGGCTCCCTGTTCCCAACGCGAGTGGTGGAGCATACTCCGCCACAGACGGCTCCGCCTCCGGCGCTTGAGGCGCCTAACGTGGATGACGACGGCGTGCCTGAGGTCACTGGGGTGGAACCAAGGGTGGCGGTGTTACGGCTTAAAGCCAAAAACACCGCCCCGGGACCCGATGGCATTCCTGGCCGAGCGTGGGTCCTGGCCTTAGTCGACGAGGCTCTCGAGCCCCGACTGCGAGGGTTCTTCAGCGCATGCCTCGAGCGGGGCCAGTTTCCGAAATTGTGGAGGACGGGGAAACTGGTCCTCATCCGAAAGGAGGGGCGCCCGGCGGACTCACCGTCCGCCTACCGGCCCATAGTGTTGCTTGACGAGGTGTGCAAGCTCTTTGAAAGAGTGATTGCAAGGCGCCTCGTCAAGCATCTCGTGATGGTTGGGCCGGATCTGGCGGACAACCAGTACGGTTTCCGTCAGGGGCGCTCCACCGTGGATGCGATCATGCGCGTGAAGGCTCTAGCGGAGGAAGCAGTCTCCCGAGGCGAAGTGGTGTTGGCGGTGTCCTTGGACATCGCCAACGCGTTCAACACTATGCCCTGGAGCTGCATCAGGGAGGCGCTCGTGTATCACGAAGTGCCTCTCTACCTCCGCCGCATAGTCAAGGCATATTTGTCGGAGAGAGCCGTCGTCTACCCCAGTAGGACCGGTCTCGGTAGGCGTGAAATGTCGTGCGGTGTTCCGCAGGGGTCGGTGTTAGGGCCACTCTTGTGGAACATCGGCTACGACTGGGTGCTTCGTGGTGCCTTCTTGGATGGTGTCGCCGTCGTGTGCTACGCGGACGACACACTCGTGACGGCGCGCGGCAAGACGCACCACGAGGCAACCCTGAGGGCCACGGCCGGGGTTGCCCAAGTCGTTGAGCGTATCCGGCGGCTGGGTCTCGAGGTGGCTCTGCACAAGTCCGAGGCCCTGTTCTTAAACGGGCTTCGGAGGAAGCCGCCTGAGGGATCTAGCCTCACGGTAGGAGGCACTCGCATCGGCATCGAGCCCTCGATCAGGTATCTGGGGCTCGTACTTGATGGCCGATGGGACTTCGGATATCATTTCCGAGGTCTGGTCCCCAAGTTGGTTGGGGCAGCGCGTGCGTTGGCGCGGCTGCTGCCCAATATGAAGGGACCCGATGACTCCTGCCGGAGACTCTAGTCCTCCTAGTCCATGGCCCTTTACGGGTGCCCAGTATGGGCGGGGGCCCTGAAGGCCAGCAACGTCGCGATACTGCGACGACCGCAGCGAATGCTGGCCATCAGGATCATAAGGGGGTACCGCACGATCTTATTTGAGGCGGCGAGTCTCCTGGCCGGAACTCCACCGTGGGACCTGGAGGCGAGAGCCCTTGCGGCTCTGTATCAGTGGCGCAAGGAGGCACAGGAGTTGGGTCGATGCCCCGAGATTCGAGAAATCGATGACCGGAAATCCCAACTCCGCCAGGTCATCATAGGGGAGTGGAGGGAACGACTCGGGCAACCGAGCGCCGGGCACGCCGTCATTGCGGCGGTAAGACCCGTTATGGAGGATTGGCTCGAGAGGCGTCACGGGACCCTCTCATACCGATTGACGCAGGTGATCACTGGGAAGGGATGTTTCGGAGATCACCTGTGTCTGATCCGCAAGGAGCCAACGCCTGAGTGCCACCACTGCGATGGCCAGACCGTGGACACTGCTCTCCACACGCTGGCAGAGTGCCCGGCGTGGGTTGAGCAGAGGCGAGACCTCGTGGCGGCCATCGGAGTGGGAGTTCTCTCGCTCGATAGCCTGATTGCGGCTATCGTGCGGAGCGAGAGTGCGTGGAACTCTGCCGTCTCCTTCTGCGAGCAAGTTATGCTCGCGAAGGAGACGGCGGAGCGGGACCGGGTGAGGTTTAGAACTCTCCCGGCCCGCCAGGCCCGGGCACGGGCCAGGCACCGCAGGCGACTCAGGCGCTGGAGGTCGCAGAACGACCTTCGTCCTCCATAAGCGCAGGCCTGGGGGTGACAGGTGAGGCCATCTGTCACCCTAGCAGAAGCAGGCCGGGGTGACGGCGAGCGCGTTGCGAAGCGCGCTCGCTTCCAGGGAGCACAGGGAACATGGGGTTCCCACACGGGGGGGGGGGTCGTCTACTCGTCTGTAGATGACCCGAGGTATGTCGGGGCACCAGGGACTTCCTTTCTAGGGTATACCTGGTTCCCCGGCTATTAGTACCCGGCGAAGGCGTGCGGTTTTAGTCGGTTCGAGTCCGACATGCCACCGACAGGTGGTATCCGAGGGGATTTCCGCACGGAAAAAAAAAAAAAGGGCCTGCACTAGAGGATAGACATGGGTAAACATATATTATTTACAAATAGTTTTTAAATTCAAGTATAGAAACTTGAGTTTTTAACATGCGACTATTGCTTAATAAGCATTTTGCTTTTGTTATTTTTCTGCTACCGTTTTGCTGTATTTGATACCAAAAAATTATGATCTATGTAAAAAATATTTTATCTTCTTTATTTGAAAAATATAGCTACAGCGTAATGTTATTCTATGTTAGCGTGACGTGGTTAAGCTGAAAACCAACACTAAAAAGAATGTAAACGAAACGAAAATAGCTCAAAACAAATTTTAATACACATATTTATTTATTTAATTCTCAATGATGACGTATCTTACCAATTCACACTTAAAAAGCATGTGACGGCTGAGTGATATAAGACATTAGCAATTGCCCGCGGCTCCGTTCGCGTGTGTGGGTTATCGCAGTAAAAGTAGCCTATGTCCTTCCTCAGGAATCAAAGTATTTCCATGCCAAATTTCATTGAAAGCGGTTCAGCGATTTAGCTGTGTAAGCTAATAAATTAGTAGAGATAGGGATTTTCACACATATACGAGGAACATTTTGTGAAGCCATCTGTCTCTTTCTTAAACTTTCTTCTTCCCCTGATAGAAAGAGGGATTGTGAGCAGCCGACGTTAAGGCTTGTCAAACGTCAGTTGTCAAACAGGAAAAAAATTTGTTTATGTTTTCTGGAATAAAATGCCGTAGTTTGGATGTTTAGAAGAAGGAAATTCTAAATTCGCCTGTATTTATTTTTCATATTTATTAAAACTGTTATTTATGGACTTTTTTTAAGAGGGTATTTCCCGTTTAACCTCATCACGAAGAAGGCGCATTGAATTCGTTGATACTTTTTCAAAGAACTATGTCTTTACCTATTAAATGATACGTAATGCAATAAATATACCTAAGTATTTACATCTTATTTATTGTTGCCTACAGGGTTGTGTTCTAGTCTACTATGTGGGCGAACAGAGAAATTAGAGCTGGGCAGAAACAGCGGCGCTGGCGCTGCACTAGCGTTAGCACTAGTTCGTCCCATGAATGCTGCAAACCAAACCGCCTGCACGCTCAGCCTCACCGCACCAGATGCTGCGGCCTTCGCTATTCGACTGATCGATGTTAAGGTAAAGGTGCTTTTTATATACTTTTTAAGCTATTGCATAGCTTCTATCGCGGGCCTTGAGCGTGGAGACCGAATCCAGAAATTCCGTAACGAAAATAACCTAACACAACCCACGTGATACTTTACCTTTACCTACTAACTCGCCTCTAGGTGGCATTGGTTGTATCGGCGTTCGCCCCGCAATCTAATTAATATCAAAGAAAAAAAAAACAAAGGAAAAAAATACTGCATAAATAAAATAAATAAATAATTATAATTGTATAAGTTGATAAAAAATGCTATGCAATAGCTTTACCGCGGCAGTCCCCGAGTGCCACACGTCATTTTTTTACTTCCATAGGAATAAAGACACAAAGAGGCGATGCCTGTTTGTCGAATGTTCTGTTTAACTAGTCCTGATCTTTGAGCAGTCTTCTGCCGTATATCAAGGACATTTAAACGTTATGTGCCTTGTCAAAGTTTGTCCATTCACCAGAGTTTTTTGTCACAGACATATCCATGGAATATAGTTTACTTACACTGTTTTTAAAAGTGAAATATAATTTAACAAGTGATGCCATGGAATATACATAGTTTACTTATACTGTTTTTAAGAGTGAATTGTGAATAAACAAGTGATTAGTTAAAGAAATTACTGTCCTTCCAAAAAACAAATTACGCGCCACTTATGAACTTTTAAAATACGTGTGCCAGTGTCACTATTGACGATACCCTATCCTTCCAAATCTGTTTAGTTCAGACTTAGAAGTTATAGTGAAACAAAGAAACTCACAAACATGAGCTCTGAAAAAATTACACTCCTATTTTAAACATTTGTGTCAACGTAGGTTAAGGTAGATAGGTACGTGGTCTAGGAGCGGTCCGGATGTCTTAATAACAGCTGTTCTCGGATCCCTCCTATTTCAGACGCAAAAAAAATGGTAGGTACGTGGTATTATTGAGCACAAATGACTCGTTATGTAAGTCTCAATGAAACGTGCGCTTGCGCACCTATATCAATACAAGTTATTATCATTGTAATACAAAACATGCTCATAGGTTTCTTACACACTACTTGTTCTTACTGTTTTATTTATGAAATAAAAATTAAACGATAGAATGAATCTTCATTGAACGGAAAACTTGGTTTTATTAACATTGTAATAAAGTGCTCCTGATTGCGTAATGCCGAGAGTCAATATTTAGTGTTGCTATTATCTATATAATCATATGTAATTACTTGCCCTTGCTGATTTATCAAAGCAGAACCAAAACCGCTCGGACTGCAAACTTGAAATATTGACAGCTAATGCTAATCCACTAAAAAAGGATTTTTGGAAATTTTACTCTCAAGAGGATAAAATAAGGGATGGATGGTAGTATGGAAGTTTGTCATTTTCAATGTTAGAAACACAAAATAAATAATAACGTGAGTTAGGCTGCGGCCTTTATAAAACTATCATCATCAGACCTGCCGTCCTGTATGGTTCTGAAAGACCATTAAGAGAACGGATGAGAGACGCCTGGTCGTTGTCAAAATGCGAATGCTGAGATGGAGTGATGTTCAGTGTGACTTGGATGGACAAGGTCAGGAGTATTTACGAGGGAGTCTGTTTATTATGTATTACAAGTAATAATTAATAATAACGAACGCAAACGCTGTGGTCAAGTAATAGGTAATATTTCCTTGTTACAAAGGTTACCACAATTTATCAACGGACAATTTGTAATACTCGTAATCTGGTCACTAAACTACGTTTGTCTAGACGTAAACGTAACAGTAAGTTGTAAATACGGTTTTCCTTAAAATGGTATTGACCGCATAAAGAAATAACTTCAACGATAAGTAGATATATGTTTATGTATGTGTGTTTATAAGATTTTCTTGAAAAATGGCTCTCAAACCTTTTATGTCAAGTAATATTATAAACTTGTACAATGAAACTAGGATATTGTTTTTTCATCCATTTTTCAACAAAGCTACAACCCTTTTTTTATTATTATCAGTATATTATTCAGAAAGTAAGTCACATAACTGTGGGAGAGTTCCAACTCTTCCAATTTTCTTGTAATTAATTTCATTGCGGGTTCCAAGACAGTTAAAAAAAAATCCTGGGACTTCTCGAGTGTCATAACTCGGTGTGTTCGTGGGTCACTGCTGTTGATCCTGGTGTACAGGAGTTACAGTGGTGGGCATGCGGGAGGTATTAGTCCCATTTAAACCGTGTGAGAGTCTGGCGTCTGCACAAATGGGTCGGCTCGACCTTAGTAACCTCACAGAAAACTGGTGTTAAGTTATTCTTTGATTGCTTTTCACCGAGGGAGTCCTAATCTCCCCTCCCACAAATTATTAAGGAGGGGGGGTGGGGGCAATTTTGAATTGCAGGTGTTCATAGGTAACGGTAGTCACTGACCGTCTGCTCGTTTGTTCCATAAAAACAAGCGCTGGTTGACATTCGTATTTGATAACAGGCACTCTATTCAGAAAGTACAGTTACATGACAAGAATTATATAGACATATTATTTATAATAACTTTTTAAATGTGACTAATTGAAACCACATAACCACTGATTGTCACCGTATCCCTGGATCAACAATAGTGACTCAATTAAAATATGACACACGATGCATGAGGACGCACCAGGTGTTGTCTTAGCAAGTTCTTGAGGAAGTGCAATTTAATAGGTAAAGTATATATATATATATATTTCATACTCTGTGTATTATTTCTTGACCGATCATAGACAAACTTGACTTTTGAAAAAGTATGATCGAACTCTATGCGGCAATCTTGAGTAGTAATTCATAATTAAAAAATGTTCATTGAAATTAGTTCACGAATGAAAACAATAAGTCGAATTGAGAATCTCCTCCTCTTTGATGTTGGTTAAGATTGTAAGAATTTGTGAGTTTGTATTATTACGCAAAGACCTTGCCATACATACTAGAACTAAACGATTTGACTAATAAATTTCATCAGTCTAACATATATATGTTTCTGTAAGAGTAGATGCAATTTGATAGGTTTTGTAAGCGTGCAACAAAATCATTTTTTTCCAGTGCACCATGACTCATAGCACGTGTGTGACCGAATAATCAATTTTGCATATCCAACTTTTATCGATTTTTTATCAAGAGCCACAAGAAATAAGAAATTTATACTGATTTCGTATGTGCGTCAAATATGACTCTGCGTGAACGTGGCTAAATTGAACATTTCTTCACGTCACTGTTGATGACGATGTATAACATTTATACGGTGTAAGGGACGTCGTAACGAATACTGAAATAGTGTCGGTCGCAAGGAGGGAATTGAGTCCTGCCTGTCATCACTGCGATTGCAGTTAGGACTCGGCTCAGCACACGCTGGCAATTTGCCCGGCTTGGGCTTAGCAGCGTCGGATCCTCACTGAAGTCATCGGGGGAGATCTCTTACTCACACACGCCCCATGGCCGGTAGTGATAGTTGTTTTACCGCGGTCGCATCCTTCTGCGAAAACGTTATATCGCAGAAGGAGGCGGCGGAGAGGGCCCGGGAGGATAATCTCCACTCGGACCCAATACGACGCCGACGAACCGGGCGGCGGAGGCGCGCTTACCACCGCCACATGCCGCCCTGAGTGTGGCTGCGGGTGGACGGGACGGGTTTTCACCTCCGCCCGTCAATAACGACCAGCCGCGAGGAGGCGACGTCTGCGTGTGCCGGACGTCTCCTAAATAGAGAATATACCCGAAGGTGATGCCCGCGTCGTTGCGGGCAGGCGCTAGGAGGGGTCTGGATGTCGTAATAACAGTAGTTCCCGTTCCTGTGGTTTTAGTCGGTCCGATTCCGACACACCACCCCGCGTAACCCCCGGTGTGATGGCTCGAGGGGTTTTCACACGTAAAAAAAAAGGTTTGAGTCAAAAACCTATCAATAAAAATAAAAATTGTAAGTCTGTTTATGATCAAATGATATACTATATTAATTAATAAAAAAAAGTCAAATTAACATTAAAACCGAATTCTACTAGTTGTTTGTATTTCACTTTAAATAGCTCTTCCCGCGTGTAGGTTGGTTGCCGCGGTAAAAAGCCTATGTTCTTCCTCATGAATCAAACTGCCTTCATACCAAATTTCATCAGAATTGGTTCAGCGGTTATTGATTCCCCATATTAATTTCATCCCTCCTTTACACCCCCTTTAAGGGTGATTTTTGTTGTAAAAACTACCCTATGTCCTTTCGCGGAACTCAAACTATCTCCATTCCTATCTAAATCGGTGTACCGGTTTAAACGTGAAGAGGTAGCAGGCAGACAGACACATACACTATCGCATTTATAATATTAGTATGGATGTTTCGTTTTATCAAAATCCTTTGTGACATCCACTTATTATACAATTAATCAATGCTCGTCTATACAAATTCCAGCACAATACAATTAACAGATGGCGGATGTCCAACTAATTAACTATTGAATATTAATTGCATGCATACTTAAAGACTTGCATGCATATTTCTGTATTTGTCCTTTAAATCGCGCTTCCTTCTTTATCTTCTTTTGCTTAGCATCTTTTATCTGCCCGTCGGTGAGGTGGATACTGATAAATAAAAAATGGACATGATATTTCACCTTCATCAACAGCCTATAACAGTCCACTGCTGGACATAGGCCTCTCCTTAGAAAGGAGGTTTTGGTCTACTATACCACGCTGGCCAGACGGGTTGGTATAGGATTTGTTTCAAGTTTTCCTTCTCTTTGCAGTGCTGTTGTCCTGCGTAATTTGTTCCCTTAGTCGGCTCTTACGACACCCGTGGGATGAATAGGGGTGATGACATTCCTTATTCTTAATCCGTCACCACACGGATATGTTATATATATGTTACACATTATTTTTGTCAATCATCTAATATTAATGTTGACTTAAATAAATATATGATTAATTGTAAACTATTATTTAAAGTAGTAGAGTAAGGGAGATTCAAGGGGATCATGGCCTTCTCGTGGTCTTCCCTGGTTCCGGTTTCCCTGGTTTAATT